AAAAAAATGAATACATTCAAATTACTAGTTGGCTTTTGCCCGTGATTCTCGAAAAATTTATCTCCTTTGTCACTAAAAAACCTAAATCTATCTATAAAGCCTAAAAGGATGTCTCGTTCCGTCTCAATTTAGAGAATTATGACGGGACTTGCGTGCGAATAAGCAGAGAATTTAAAAACTTCTCTGTCAAATTTGGCCACTTAAGCATTATTTACCAGCATTACATGGAAGAAGAGTTAGCCCTAATAATGCGATTCAATAATACTATCGATCATACCCCGACATGAACCATAGGTCGGTTGACATAATCAGAATGCCGGTGAACACTACTTTCTCCATGTTCTTCGCTCTTCAAATAGGAAACACAATAAAAATCATTAAAAAAAAAATCAAAATTTTTGGAAATTTCGAAAAGCAAAAGTTAAAAGTAAAAGATAAAAATATGTCTAAAATGACTTTTAAATGCTTTTTTTAGCTCAGAAAAGCATAGAAACAAAATGTTAAAATGCAAAAAAAGTTCCTAATTACAAGAAAAATAACAAAAAACCTGAATTAACAAAACTTCCTTGCTATCACGCTGCTCCCCACTTTCTTGCCCAAGCAAACTTTGCCTGGAACATTCTTGAATGTCCATCGAAACCTGTCCGAGTCCAGTTAACGCATCTCAAAAACATGTATTTTTTGAATTAGGAAAACCCGAGTAAACTGAAAATGTAGAAAAAAAAGCGATCATGCGATCTTTCTAACTGAATAAAAGGTAGCAGACACATAACGCAGCAAATTTCATTGACTGGAAATCAACTGTAACTGAAAACAAGTTCAGGAAAGAGACGAATAAAGTTTTTAAAAGTACAAAAAGTAAGAAAATTAATAAAATAAATCCTTATCTCTATTTCAAGAAGTAAAAAGAAAATTTTTTTTCATTACTTTCAGTTATATCGAACAACAACAAAAGAAAAAAAAAAAAGAACATAAAGAAAATAAAATTATATTCATCAGACAGTGTTGAACGCTAAGTACACATGAGAAAACTGACAGGGTTACCACAATTCGACGTTGTCAAGAACGAAAACACTTAAGAAAAGACACACGTACGCACATACAAACATACACACGTAGAGTGACGACATGAAAATATAATAAATAATGAGTAATAATAACAATAACAATAATAATAATTATCATAATAATGACAGTAACAATAACAACAACATTAATGGCAGAGTTTTTGATAAAAGTGACTGAAATGAAGTATATACCTGTCCATGAGTTACAGTTTTTTCTATCATTACACAACATTTCCATTGAAGAAGATAAATGACAACTGACAAAGATAATCATAGATAAAGACGCATGAATCCAAACACCACAGACACACACAGAGACACACACAGAGACACACACACACACACACACACACACACACACACACACACACACACACATACACCAATAAGCTAATGGCACGGACAAAGACCACAGATGTAGACATAAGCTCACATGTCTAGACACAATTAAGTAGTCAAACATTTTGATGCATAAAAATTTCCAGCAAGTGTAAAAAGCTTGTCAAAATGCTAGCTAGATTGGAAAAAAAAAAAGATAACTACCACCAATTTGCAAACATTTATATATAAATTCTAGAAAATGTGCAAAACAATAAGAGCACTGCAGGCCGGAATTTGCAGCAGTGATACGGAGACAGTCAGTCACTCAGTCAGTGGGTCTCTGATTGAGATATTCACAACGAACGTTTTCTTGAAAGCCGTCATTGAGCACTGGGTTATTGGCATAGTTCCAACTCTCAAACTCCATCTCAACCTTTTTTTTTTTTTTTCTTCTTCTATATTCGCTATTTCAAAGCACCAGAAAAAGAAAAAAACTGCTCTTAATTACCTTTGATTTTCGATTCTCAATGTTGCGCTGTTGTTGCAGCTGTTGATGTGCTACTGTTTAACGAGTGCAAGAAATGTGCGCAAAAACCAGCTTTGCTGCCACCGCCGTCGTCATCAACCGCAGATAGTATGTTCTGTAATATTGAGTAGAATTTTTCATAGACAATTTTACTTGTTTTATAAAGTATTGCAAGAAAAATGATTTATAACTATAAAACAGCAAAATATAGTTTTCCTATCGTCTTTTTTTTTTTCGTTTTTTTCCATTGCACTCAGAATAATGCCATTAATATTTGATATTATGAAAATAGCACTGAAATAGTGCAATAATAATTTTAAAAAAGGACTACTTTTTTGTTTGGCGAAAAAAAATGTTGGTGAAATAATTATTTGCTGAAAATTTACCATTCAAATTTTTTGTTTAATGCTTAACTCTTCATTTATCTTCATATACCTGCCCAGTTTTATTATTCTACGTCCCTTTTACGGTCCTTTCCTCGTTATCTTCTGTTTTTTTTTCTTTCGCAAAAAATTCCCTCAATTGTTGCGACGACCTAAGAAATAGCTACCGTGATGAAACTCAGCGATTCAGGAGCTCACAGCGTTTGGGTACAAATGGGTATATCTGATCCTTCATAAGTCAACGAGAAGCGCTAACAGCTATCGCAGCGGTAGTTAGAATTTTTTTTTACTATGTTTAACGCCTAACAGCGGCATTGTTGCCTTAAATTTCAATATGGAAAAAGCTCAAGTAAAAATTGTGGAGGAGAAAGGAAAAAAAAGAAAAGCTTAATTTGACAATGACGCCACAAGTAGAATAGTCACTTCGGACTTCGAAATTTTAACAGACAAGCAGTCTTTGAATTATTCAAAAAAATTTGCGGCGTTTTCCTCATTAGTCGTTTTCTTTGTTCGATTGTAAAAAAAAAAAATGAAAATAATTACCAATGATAACTGCATTTGAAACTGACTATAATAATGCGAATTTTTTAACCGCTGCTTTTGCAATAAAACTTCCTGCAAGGATATCAGCCGCTAAGGCGTTTGATTAGTCATTATATACTCAAAGCGGACAGACCGTTTAGACTACATGATGCTGTCGATAGTTGCTTGTTTCTCTTACGTTTCTGAACAACTATGTTAGGCAAGGCAAATATATGGAACGAAACTGTTGGAACTGGTGTTGCAAATACCGATGAACTTCTTTAATTGGGATGCTGCGACGGATTACAATCCCTCAAATATGTCTCTTTTGGGACCCTTATACTAGCACTCAACTCACCGCAAGCAAATATATTTGCTGATGCATGTATAGCATATCTAAGGACTGTATATTTGTGGTTTCGACCGAACGGTGACAATGTCGTGTTACTTGTTCCTATTTATTGACTTAGATCTCCAAATATTACAATTAAGCGAGTAGTTGGGGTAAAATGATACAGTCATATTAGAAGTCACATTACTGGATACAGCTTAATTAAGCTATAAAAGAATCAAGTACCAAATGTGTTTAATTTATAACGAAAGGAATGCCAATCGCGAGACCCTTACTTATTCTCAATAGAGTGGTGAAGATTTAGCAGTAAATAAAATAAATATAAAGGAACTGAACCGAAAGGATAAAACCAACACCGGAAGGAGTATAGCAACTCAACAAAATTATAAACAAAGCAAACTTGATCAAAAATTGGGCACGCCTTACAGGAAGTTTTTGAACCTAGCTTGGAAAAGCTTGGACCACACTAACTAATCCTATTCCCTTCGCCATTCTATACTCATATTTCCGACAATGATCTGTCAGCATGAGCGTCAAGAACGTCCCTTTGAGATCATGTTTATCACTTTTACCGACTTTGATCTATGAAATCCTTGCGCTGCCGCGACAATTAGCAAGATTGTTCTCATTTTATGTTACATTTCATACAGACACAAGATTGTACTCAGTAGTGACAACCCTGCTGCATTCAATAAAAGTGACTAAAGCTGAGCAAGTTGTACTGTTCGCTGTAGCTTCAGTTGCTGCCCTATAACACCCTAGCACGATTCCGGTGAAAATTTTCAACCTAAGTCAAGCGCCACAAAATCCTTGAAGTTTAAGGTTACATGACAGCACAGTTTGTTTTTTTTCTAGCACACTGTTGCACAACCCTCAAACCCTCAACTTTCAAAATTTTTCTTCGACAGTGTTCTCCGGGTTAGTCTACATATCAATCTTCTTAGATACTCCAAAATTTTTAAGACAATCTTTCACAAGAATACTTACTCGAACAAAACGACATATCATTTACAATCACCAAAGCAGCGAATAATATGCACATAACAATAAAACTATCAGCTCACGATTTCAAACCCATAAGGTGACAAGTTACAAAAACCCGTTAAAATGACCATGAAATAATTAGCAACAAGATCTAAATCACTAAAGCTTGCCTATTCCTTTCGTGACCCGTTGAGAGTAATCTCTTCGAAGTTTTCCCATGGTTTCTGCCACACAGAGACTGTGAATATCTAAAAGACAAGAGTGATAGACAATGCTTTCACAAAGTCAATACAAATATTTATTTACCCGTAGAAAGTCTCACTGAGTAAGATAAGCTTACTAATAGAGAAAACTCACAATATTAACATGAAAGAACTTTTCATCAAAAAAACACAAGATAACAAGTCTCATAAATAATGAAATTTTGTCTGACTCATCGAACAATATCGTCTTTAATAAAGTTTACCTCCTTAGCGCCTCCGTCACGCGGAGAACAGACGTGATTACTGGTGTCATGTTCGGGTATTTTCTAAAAAAAAAAAAAATGGGCAGCTCAATAAAATACTGTTGACATGGCTTGACTTCAGGGCAATATCAACATCATACCACTAAGAACTATCAAAAAGTAGCAACCAGAGAGTAAAATAAAGGTCATGATTCCATGTCAAAAAAGCACATTTTTTTAAGTTGACCCCTCGAATTCTTGTCTAATTTTAGCTACATATAAAATTCCATCCCGAATTTGAAATCGAAAACAACTGCTTTGAAAATGTACTACCAGTAGAGATAAGCCCTGTCAAAGTACGCCAAAGAAATACAGTTTTTGTTCGACGTAACCATATTTGAAGAATTTCCCTTTCCAGAATTACTTTAACTTCTTAAATTTTATTTAAAGCTTACCTCCCACAAGTTCAGGGGAAAAGGTATTGATGTGCGTTGCGCGTACTAAGGAAAGCGGTGTCAAATTTAAAATTAAGGATCAGAACGTAGCATCGGAAAATGCGCGTGCTAAAATCTTCCCTAAAAAAACTTTGAGGACGTACTATGCACACAAGATATTAAAATGTCAAGTTTTACACTTAACCGGCTTGGAGAAGTTACAGTACGAAACGCCAAACGAGATAGCAAAACTTTCTGTACTTGTAATATTTTTTAAGAGTTTTCATGAGGACAAACTTTTTTACGGTCCCGCAGTTCCTGAGACAGATTCCGGAAA